ACATAACATAAAATAACCTCTCCTAACCCTACCCTACCCTACATCCTATCCTTTCCTGTCCTGTCCTAGACAAGGTTTGGTTACAAAGAAAACTCTCGGGCTTCCATTCCTAGAGACTATCTATAGAAGATATCATAACCATCAACGTCACATGGAATAAATGAGTTTGTAGCATAGAAATGATGAAAAGGAGGGGAAAAATGTCCCAGTTGATTCTGAATAATGTCACAACAGGCACACCGGCACACACCAATTCTATCTGGGGAACAGTGGGATTGGAATTACTATTCTGTGCAAATGTGTTTTCATTTGCACATTGGAATGCAAACATTACTTTAACTTGCAAAGAGCTACATTCCCAAGGACAGCATGTCAAAGAGAGATTGCATTGATTCCCCTCCTGCTTGTGTGAAATTGTGAGGAGGCTGAGAAAGAAACGGAAGGGAAAGACGGATGGGGAGTCTTCTGTTTGCAACTTGGTTTGCAATTCTGATCGGTGATCATAAGTAAAACACATTCAGAATAGCAGAGTTGGAAGGGACCTTGGGGGGTCTTCTAGTCCAACCCCTTGCTTAGGCAGGAGACCTTATACCATTTCAGGCAAATGGTTGTCCAATCTCTATTTAAAAACCTCCAGTGTTGGAGTATTCATAACCTTTGGAGGCAAGTCGTTCCACTGGTTAATTGTTCTCACTGTCAGGAAATTTCTCCTTAGTCCTTGATTGTTTCTCTCCTTGATTAGTTTCCATCCATTGCTTGCTTGTAGTCTTGCCTTCTGGTGCTATGGAGAATAGGTTGAACCCCCTCTTCTTTATGGCAGCCCTGAGATATTGGAACTCTGCTACCATGTCACCCCTTCTTTTCATTAAATTAGATATACCTAATTCCTGCGACCATTCCTCATAAGTTTTAGCCTTATTTTTGTTGCTCTTCTCTACACTCTTTCTAGAATATCAGTGTCCTACATAGAATGGAGTGGAGTGGAGTGGAGTGGAACGGAACGGAACGGAACAGAACAGAACAGAACAGAACAGAATAGTTTAGTTGGAAAGGAGCTTGGAGGTTTTCCAGTCCAACCGACTGCTTAGGCAGGAAACCCTACACACCCATGTTGGTGAACCTCTGCCACGCATGCTGGAAGTGGCACGCAGAGCAATTTCCCCCCAGCACACGAGAGGTCACATGCGCCACCACCCAACAACTCATTGTCAGGTGTCTGGCGTGCATGTGCAGAGAGATGGAGGGGGTGCGCAGGAGATGCGCACGCATGCTCAGGGATGCACTGCGTGCGAGGGGGGATTGCACACACATGCGCAGATGCAGCGCACAAGGGGGAATTGCGTGCACATGAACAGGGGGCCTGAGGGCTAGCACACATTGCCTTTTGGGTGCTGGCATGCAAGAGCACACACAATTATCAGCACGGGAGCCGAAAAAGTTTCGCCACCACTGCTATACACCATTTCAGACAAATGGTTGTCCAACCTCTTCTTAAAAGCTTCCAGTGTTGGAGCATTCACAACTTCTGGAGGCAGGTTGTTCCACTGATTAACTGTTCTGTCAGGAAATTTCTTTTTAGTTCTAGGTTGCTTCTCTCCTTGATTTATATCACGGCGACGCAAACTGGATGCCGTATTCCAAGTGTGGCCTTAACCAAGGCCTATTCATTCATATCCATAGAGAGTCCATTGGCATTTTATTTCATAAACCCCAACTCAATCCAAGCGGAGAGAAATCTAGGAATAAGCATCTGAAGCTGACCTCTGCTATAAGAAACTTGCTCTAATTGAGGCAAGGAAATTCTTTTAAGTTTCTAAGCACTGAAGATACTTTCCAGACATCTATCTAGTCTGCGCTTCCTTGATCTTGCCAGGAACTTGCAGAACTCAACCCCACCCTTGTAACCCTGGTGAAAATGCCTCTGAATTAATTCCATTGACATGTACCTGGCTGACATCAGTGCCAGCCAGAGTTACATTAACCCAGTTACATTACCATAGTAACCCTGGATGGCTGTAAGTGTGAAGACCAAGTTGTAAGTCACTTTTTTCCAGCGCCATGGTAACATCAAACTGTTGCTAAAGGAGTTGTACATTGTGGACTACCCAGATATGAAACAGCCATACCACAAATGTGTGGTACTGGTTATGTGGCAAGGAAAGAACTGTGCAGATGGGAAGACACTGAGATTGGTCTTTTGTTTGAGCCCAGTATTCACCCAAGATCAACGCAAAGACTTGTTTTCAATTCCCAAAGAACAGGGCAATTTCAGATGTTAAGACAGGTCAATGACATTTTTTAAAAAAAAAAAAACTTGAGAATATTCCTGAACATTAGAGCAATGAAAATGAAAAAGCAGCTCCGTTCTCTTTAGACAACCATAATCAATCACTTCTACCTCGGTCTCAAATGACCCAGAGGACTGAAGTTTAAAAGGCTGCCGAAATGTGGCTCACAGAAAACATTGAGAAAATATCTTCCTAATGAATCACATTGCAATTGTCAACTCGGGAGGATTATTAACAGAAAATTAGTTCTGTTAAATGCCAGCAACCTTGAACAAACATAATGGTTATCTTCACCAGGCCATTCAAATTACAAACACAAAGAACAATTTGCATTTTTAGAAATTTTTCATTCCTTACCCAAGCAGTTTCCATATCCTGTCAGAGCTATCTGCAAAACCCTTCCAAGTCTAAAAAGAGGTCTGTGGCAAATTTTTAAGGTCTAAATCATGTCTTTCTTTCTTTTTCCTTGTGAGTCACAAAATACCCATTCTTCTGCTCAGCAATAGGCATTCTTTTCCAAGTCTCTTAAAAGAGACTTAAGCAGCAGAAAGAAAAATGCTGATTGTAGTATGTTCGGAGACAATGGAATTTGGTGGCTGCTCCCCTGAATCCTGCCAGGATCAACTTCTAGAGCAGATCTACAGTAATCTCCAAGCCAAATACCACCCTGCAGGCTATGTTGCACACTTCATGGGTAACTTAATAAATCCAAGATTGTATTTGCTGTGGAAAGCCTCAGGTTAAGGAAGCATCTCCAGACCAGTGAAAACTTACCCACAGTAAAAGGTACCTACCACCTATGCATTGTAGTTTATTGATACTTTTTAATCTGCAAAGGCCTAGTGATCTGGGAGCACCCCAGGAGTCTGGTCTAATCCAGATAGTGCCACATTTTATTTTATTTTTATTTTTCCTAGCACAATGGATGTGCTTCTGAGATCCCACAAGCAGGATGCAAGGACAACAGTGTTCTCCTATTGTCGCTTCCCAACTAATTGCATTTCAGAGGCACTAAGCTTGCTTGTCATAGACCTCCAGGTTCCATAGGGTTACCCTTCTAAACCATTAAGGACAAATCATCCTTTTTCTTATTAATGTAATCCAAGCAATTTAGCCGGCGTTCTGTTCTTTATCTGTTTACAGCAATAGACAGAATCTTGCCAGACTAAATTCTTACTTCTCAGCCCTAATGGATACTGTATAATCTGAGAGATTCTCGGGGGTGGCTACCCTTACTGTCTTCCTCTGCCTCCTATCCAGCTCTGGGCTGGCCTGCCTCTTATCTTGCTTCCTTTTTTTTTAATATACTGCCTCTTTCTTTGGAAACTCCACTTTGTTTGTAATCCATCACACCAGCTCCCTCTCTCACAAACCCACCATGAGTCAGTCGGGGAGGTGTAATCTAAGATGGGAACTTCTTAGATTTTGGGGCAGACACAGTGAGTTCTGAACTAGATTTGAAATTCCTAGATGTCCAGAAATGGAAATGTTTAGACACCTGCCAAAACCCTATAACCCAGAGGATCCAACATAAATCCTACCAGGGAGTTCTTATTCCACCATATCCACCATAAAAGCACCATGCTGACAGTCCACTGAAATCAGATATCAACTCCAGTTGCACTGAGGTCCCAACTACAGATATTCTTTGTTCGTTTCCATGTCTCCTAAAAATGCCAGCCTACCTCCTAAGATATACCTACAAAAGCCCACTGCATAGAAAGAAAGTGGGTGAAGGTAGAGTTGCATAGACAATGTTTATGAGCTAAAGATTGGAAATATCAATCAGCTACTTCTTTAGGAGAAAAAAAAAGAGGCTGGAGGATTCACGTTGATCAAGCTCAGAATCTAAAATCAGTTGCCTCGGGAGCAAATGCCAAAGAGATGATTCATTTTCACAGGAACTAGTATGATTTCTAGTGAACCGTGTGAACTGGGGAGAGGAGAAAGGAAGAAAGTTGTCCTTGTTTTCTAGTTGTATTAAGTGTGCAATGGCCAAAACAAAATACCAATTTGCAAATGCATCATAGTACAACTTAGTTCACTGTAAATTGGGGTGGGTGGTGGGTGGGTTGTCTTATACATTATGTGGGCTGGGAAAAGCAGAATCAGATTATCCAAATCCTCTTTTCAAAATTACCTGGTAAAATATCAGACAAAATTCTGATTTAGGACAAAGTTAACCCAAAATGGGAAAATGAATCCCCCTCAAACTATCTATCTTTCTTCCTTCCTTCCTTCCTTCCTTCCTTCCTTCCTTCCTTCCTTCCTTCCTTCCTTCCTT